AAATATAGCAGAAGAACATGTTTCTCAGGAAACAATGCATGATGTACAACTGGTAGGGGGAATCAAACAAACTAATATTGGAATGACTGGTAACGATCAAACTGGTCCCTCTACTAATTACGAAGTGAATAGTGTAACTCAAGGCTAGCAAATAAATAACTGGAAGACACAAGAGTTCTCATTCAATTGAGAATATTCTTACCCATGTAGATTCTAGAATGATGACGGGATCTAAAGTAAGAAATACGTGTGCCTTCTCTATCTACTTGTCCATGATTGAGCCTAAGAACATTAAAGAAGCTCTACAAGATGTTGACTGGAATGTTGATATGCAAGAATAACTTTATCAGTTGAAGAGGAAAAAATATGGCATTTGGAACTTCGACCAAAGGATAGAACAATCATAGGAACCGGGTAAATTTTCAGAAATAAGTTGGATGATCAAGGTACCATCACAAGAAATAATAGAAGATTATTAATACGAGGTTACAATCAAGAAAATAGAGTAGAATATAATGAGACATTTACACTAGTTGCTAGAATGCAGGTAATACGGATTCTCGTTGCATTTGCATCTTACATAGGATTCAAATTTTACCAAATGTATGTTAAAAGTGAGTTCCTTAATGGGTATCTGAAGGAGGAAGTATTTGTATGTCAACCTCTAGGTTTTGAGACTAATGAATTTCCTGTTCATGATTACAAATTGAACAAGGCACTATATAGATTGAAGCAAGCACCTAGGGTATGCTATGAGAGATTGTCAAAATTCCTTCTAGAGAACGGGTTCTTAAAAGGTAAAATTGACAATATTTTATTTCTGATGAAGAAAAGTAGAAATTAGTTAATTGTCCAAATATATGTTGATGATATTATTTTCTGTAATACTAATGAATCTCTATGTAAGGGGTTTGCAAAGTTGATGGGAAGTGGTGAGCTAAACTTCTTTCTTGAGCAACAAGTTAAACAGACTGAGGATGAAACAATGATACATAAATAAAAGTATATCAAGGAACTACTCAAAAGATTTGAGATGGACAATGCAAAAACAATTGATACTCCAATATTGACTGCTACGTGACCGGATATAGATGAATTTGGTTCTCAGGTTGATGAAAAATTATTGTTACGACCCACTTTCCCTAATAGGCCGTGATAATGCCCATTGCCGCCGTCAGGCAAGCCAAAGAAAAATAACAAAACGATCCATACTTTATAACAGTTTTTAAATCAAGTAATGAAATAAATAAGCGGAATTTGGTATAGAAATCGTGATAAAATACCAACATCTTCGCCAAGATACGAAATATGAACAAAGTAATAAGATGAATATCATAACAATGATACAACCATAATAACTATAAAAAATCCCCAAAACCCGGTATCACTACTGCATGAGCATCTACTAGAATATACAAAACTGCTACAACTACTTTCTGGAATAAAAAGTAGACAGAATACAAAATATATAAAGGAAAGAGACTCCTGTGCCGCGAGCCGAAACATAGAAGGCAACTCACCACTAAGTCTTCCAACAAGTACGCCTACGCGCTCGTGTGACTACCAGAAGTACTTGTCTCGGCACCTGTAAAATTAGTGCAGAAGTGTAGTGTGAGTACGTATATTAACGCGTACCCAGTAAGTATCTAGTCTAACCTCGAAGAAGTAGTAGCGAGAGATCGACATCGACACTTACTAGTGGTCCAATAAATAATGTACATAAAATACAGTAGACATGTAAGAAAAATGGCAAGTAGCAGCAAAGTAAATAAATATGTACAACATGTATTTCATTAAAAGAAACAGGTACAAATCCGTCAAGATACTCAGGTACGCACAAACTAACTATCAAGATATTTCAAATAACCCTGCCAAAGCGAACTGCCGGGTCCTATAAGAATGGTCTTACACAATCATGCTTGGCCCAATTCAATAAGAATAGTATTACGTGATACTGTCGAGGCGAACATCCAGATACCGTAAGAGTATTGCCGAGGCAAATAGCCCCATTCCATAAGAATAGTATTTCATAGTACTGCCGAGGCAAACGGCCCAATCCCATAAGCGTGGTGAAACTTCCAACGGGTCACTGGCCCAACTCGTGAAGATATGTGCGAGTTAATAAGAGGAATCATAACTCTACAAATAATCAAGTATAGTCTCAAGCTAAATAATAAATTGGAGCATTTAAACAGATAAGAACAACTCAAGTAATACAGTTAAAGAATGGTGTAAGTCTAAGTCTACCCGAACATATCAAGAATCTAGCATACACACGAATGCTCATCACCTCATACGTCCGTAGCTCACAAACACGTAGCATGTAGCAAATAGAATACCTGTGGGGATAAGTTCCATCTTACAAGATTACACAAGAGACTTGGCTTGCCCCGAAATTTGATAATCGGCTCCAGCATCTATCTAACACCTCAAACCAATGCCGAACGACCCGAAACTATCGAAAGGAACGTGCAAACCAATTAAAATATACTCAAGAACCCATTACTTAACAATTAGAAATAATTCTCAACCCTACACCAAAAGTCAACCCCGGGCCTACGCACCCGGATTCCAATAATTCTCGAAGATAAATATACTCATAGCATCAAGAACTACAATATATAATTTATTTTCAATTTCATGGTCAAATCCCTTTTATTTTTATTTTATACCAATTTTAGGTTTTCCAACAAAATCTCCCGATTTCTACTAATTTCATGTACAAATCCATATGCAATCCATGTGTTTAGCTTACAACAAGTAGAAATCACTTACTTTGTGTTAGTAGATGAAAATGGCTCCTCCAAATCTCCTTAGCAAGAGCGAAATGAGATAAAATGAGCCTAACCCCGAATTGCAAACTTATATTCTGCACAGGCGTCCCTCTTCGCGATCACGGAAATACCCTCGCGAAGGCGAAGGCATACACTACCTCTACCAAATTTCCCTCCTTTACGAATGTGAGGGACCTCACGCGATCGCTATCCATAACCAACCTATCCTACGTGAATGCGATCACGAAAGACCTCACGTGAACATGAAGAACAATTGCCAACCTAGGCCAGGCCTGCTAACCCATTGCATTCGCGACCCTTACCATGCGAACACGAAGCACAACTTGTCCATCAACTGCTTTGCGATGCCTCCTTCCACGATCGCGAAGAACAAGTCTTCCCTAACTTTACATAACACTCTGCGATGGTGAGACCTTTTTTGCGATCACGATGCACACCTGATAACAGCAAAATCTTCCAACTTCAGCATTGCTCCGGGTGGTCTAAAAGTCTCTCGAGTCACGTGGGACCTCGTCCAAATAGACCAACAAGTCCATAAACATAATTCGGACCTACCGAGGCCTCAAAACACGTAAAATAATATCACAACCAAGAATCGCACCCCAAACCAAGCTAATCAATCTTCCAAACCTTTAACTTCTTTCAACTAACTTCGAACGCGACGAATCATACTTCGACAGCTTGGAGTGGAACCAAATTTCACACACAAGTCCAATATGACAATACGAGCCTATCCATGGGCTCAGAATACCAAACAAGATCCGATATCACCAAAGTCCACTCCAAGATAAACTTAGCAAGGTCTAAAGCCTTCAAAATGCCAACTTCCAATAATAACGCCGAATTGCTCACCGACCACCTGAAACTCGATCCGAACATACACCCAAGTCCAAAATCACCATACGAACCTATTTGAACCTTCAAAGTGGAGACATAAGTCAAACTTGGCCACCTTAGGCAACTACGAGGGAACTAATCATTTCGAATTCAACCAGAACCCTTCCAAAATCAAACCAACCATCCCAATAAGTCATAAAATAGGAAAAGCACTTATGGTAACTCTTAAATAGGGAAACAAGGTTCTACAAAGCAAAATGACTGGTCGGGTCGTTACATTCTCCACCTCTTAAACAAACGTTTATCCTCGAACGAGTTTAGAACCATACCTGGAAGGTCGAATAAATATGGATATATGCTCCGTATGTCCTCCTCGTTCTCCCAAGTTGACTGGTTAACCACTCCACTGAACCTTCACAGCTGAAATCTCCTTAGACCTTTACTTGCGAACCTATCTATCAACAATGGCACATGGCTCCTCCTCTTACCTCAAACTCTCATCCATCTAAACTTTGCTATAATCCAACACATGAGACTTGTCAGCATGGTACTTCCAGATCATAGACACGTGTAATACCGGATGAAATCTCTATAGGGTAGGAGGCAAAGCAAGCATATATGTAACCTTACCAACTCACTTCAAAACATCAAATGGACTGATTAACCTCATACTCAACTTGCCTCTTCTCTAGAATCTCATGATACCCTTCATCGGCAAGGCCTTTAGAAGTACCTTCTCGCCCTCCATAAATGACAAATCACGTTCTGCGTAACTCTTTTGCCTGAACTGAGCTGTGTGAAGCGTCTCCTGAATCAACTTTACCTTATCCAAGGCATTCTTAGCAAATTTGTACCATACAACCTAGCCTCGTGGGGCTCAAACCAACCGATGGAGGAACGACATCGTTATCTATAAAAGGCCTCAAATGGAGCTATCTCGATACTAGACTAATAGCTGTTGTTATACGAAAACTCGGCCAACGGCAAGAATCGATCCCATTGCCCTCCGAAGTCAATCTCAAATGCCCTGAGCATATCCTCCAAAATCTGAATTGTTCGCTTCAACTACCTATCGGTCTACGAATGAAAGACCATGTTGGGCTCTACCCGAGTGCCCAACTCATCCTATACTGCCCTCCAGAAATGCAAAGTGAACTAGGTTGCTCGATTAGAAATAATGGAAATAGGCACGTCATGCAACCAGACGATCCCCTGAATGTAAATCTGGGACAACCTCTCTGAAGTATATGTAGTCATCACCGAAATAAAGTATACAAACTTGGTTAGTATATGGACAATAACCCAAACAATATTAAATTTCCTGAACATCCGTGGCAAACCAACCACGGAATCCATAGTGATGCGCTCCTATTTCCACTCTGGTATAACCATCTGATGAAGTAAATCACTTGGCCTCTTGCGCTCATACCTAACCTGTTGGAAATTAAAACACCTTGATACATACCCAACTATGTCCTTCTTCATCTTCCGCCACCAGTAACGCTGCCACAGGTCACGATACATCTTCGTGGCATCAGGATGAATAGAATAACACAAACTGTGAGCCACCTCCAGAATCAACTCTCTTAGGCCATCAAATAAGAACACATAAGTGACCCTGGAGTCGCGGAACACCATCATCACCAATAGTCATCTCCTTGACATCACCTCGTAATATCGTATCTCTAAGAACCAATAAGTGTGGATCATCATATAGACGTGCCTTAATCCACTCGAATAACAAAGACTATGCCACAACACATGCAAGAACTCGACTAGGCTCTAAAATATCCAACCTCACAAGTCGGTTAGGTAAGGACCGAATTTCCATAGCCAATGGCCTCTCCTCTGCTCGAATGAATGCCAAACTATCCATACTCTTGGCCTTTCTTCTCAAGGCATCCACGACCATGTTCGCCTTGCCCGGATGATAAACAATGGTGATATCAAAGTCCTTTAGTAACTCAATCCACATGCGCTGCATCGGATTAAGGTCCTTCTTCTCAAAACGAAGCTACAAACTGCGGTGATCAGTATAGATCTCACACGATACCCCATAAAGATAATGCCTAAAAATCTTAAAAGCATGAACTATTGCGGTCAACTACAAATCATGCACATGGTAATTATTCTCGTGGAGCATTAATAGACAAGAAGCATCAACAATCACTCGCAATTCCTGCATCAATACACAACCCAACCTAACGCGTGAAGCGTCACAATACAAAGTGTACATCCTTGAACCAGAAAGCAAAACCAACATTGGTGCTGTAGTTAATGCGGTCCTAAGCTTCTTAAAGATCGCCTCTCAATCATCCGACCACCTAAACTAAACACCTTTCTGGGTCAATCTAGTCAAAGGTGCTGCAATAGAGGAGAATCCCTCCACAAACCGATGATAATAACCTACTAGCTCCAAGAAACTTCTGATCTCAATCACAGTGGTAGGATGAGGCCAACTCTGAATTGCCTCGATCTTCCTAGGATCCACCTTAATATCCTCACCTGATATAACATGCCCTAATAAGGCCACATAATCTAACTAGAACTCACACTTAGATAACTTAGAGTATAACTTCTACTCCCTCAGAGTCTGAGGCAATACCCTCAAATGCTACTTGTGCTCCTCCATGCAATGCTAGTAGATCAATATGTCATCAATGAAAATTATGAAAAAAGAGTCAAGTTATGGCCTAAACACCTACTTCATCAAATCTATAAATGCCACCGGGGCATTAGTCAGGCCAAAAGATATTACTAGAAACTCATAGTGTCCATATCTAGTCTGAAAACCCGTCTTTCGAACATCCGAAGCACAAATCCTCAACTGATGGTGCCTAGATCTCAAATCGATCTTCAAGAACACCCTAACAGCCAGAAGCTAATCAAATAAGTCATCAATGCTCGCAACATATACTTGTTCTTGATGGTGGCCTTATTCAGTTAGCGGTAATTAATGCACATTCGCATATCTTTCTTCTTTAGAAATAATACCTGATGTAGCCCAATGCGACATAGTCGGCCTGATGAATCCATTCTCATGCAACTCCTGAAGCTGCTCCTTTAGCTTTGCCAACTCCAGAGGAAACTTACGATAAGGCAAAATAGAGATAGGCTAGGTGCCTGACGCCAAATCAATGCCGAAGTCGATATCATGATCCAGTGACATGCCTGGTAAGTCAACAGGAAATACATCGGAAAACTCCCTCACCACATGCACTAAATCTATAGTGGGAGTCTCCATAGTTGTATCTCGAACAAAGGCTAGATAGGCCAAACAATCCTTCTCAACCATATATTGAGCCTTAACGAAAGAAATAACCCGACTGGATGCGCTACTAGATGAACCTCTCCAATCCAGCCTAGGAAACTCTGGCATCACCAATGTAACAGTCTTGGCATGGTAATCAAGAATGACATGATACAGAGACAACTAATCCATGCCAAGGAAAATCTCGAAGTTAATTATATTGAGCAATAGAAGATCCGCTCTATTAAAATACCCACGAAAAGTTATAACATAGGGCCAGTAAACTCAATCCACAACAATAGAATCACCTACCAGCATAGACACATACACAAGACTACACAAGGACTCACGAGATACATACAGATAAGGAGAAAAATGAGAAGATCCATAGGAATAGGTAGACCATGGATCAAATAATACTGATGCATCTATATGACAGACATAAATAAATCATATGATCACAAAGTCAGAGGTTACTGCCTCTGGCCTAGTTGGAAAGGCATAAAATGTGGCCACAGCATCACCTGGCTAGCCTCAACCTCTAGGGAGACTCCTACCCACTTGCCCTCTGCCTCTGGTCGGCTAGCCAGGCACTGCGGTAGCTGGTGCTGTAATCATGGGCTGATGGACCAATTGTATTGCCTTGCCCCAAAGTCTAGGATGAAACTTCATTACGTGACCAAGCTCCCCGCACTCGAAAATACCTCTAGACGTGGGAAACTGCTAACTCTTGATTTGGACCTGGCAACCTATGTGCCCACTATGGGAATTGTGAATAGCTGGTGGATGGTAGGTACTCTTTGGAATGGCGCTAAAGTAAGGCTGCATTGGAGCACCCCAAATAGGCCGCGGTGCTGAATACATAGGCCTCCTAGGATGGCCCCTCCCAAATTTTCCACTGCCTCTAGACAAGGTGCCGCTAAAACTTCTATAATATCGAGGCCATTTCACCCTTGACGTGACCTCTCTTCTCTAATAGTAGATACGCTCGATCCTCCAAGCTATCTCCACAGCCTGGTGGAAAGAAGTCCCAACTCTGCCTCTCAGGCCAAAGTAACCTTAATCGTATAGCGCAAGCCCGAAATAAACCTATGCACCCTCTCTGCCTTTGTGGGAAGTAATATGGATGCATGATAAGACAACTCAGTCAATCTCGTCTCGTTGTTAGTCATAGACATGTGACCCTGTTGGAGCTGCTCAAATTAAACCTTAACTCCTCCCTCCAAGAGGATGCAATATACTTGTCCAAGAAGATATGGGTGAACTGATCCCAAGTCAAGGGAGGCGAAGCTACTGACCTACCAGAAAATAAGACTGCCAACATCTATGGGCTTTCCCCTCCAACTGAAAAGTGGTGAAGTCTACCCCATTGGAATCCACTAGTCCCAAATTATGCAGCATGTCCCTGCAATGGTCAATAAAATCTCGTGGGTCCTCTAATGGCTCACCGCCGAAGTGGGGAGGACGAAGCCTAGTGAATCTGTCCAGCCACTTCTTCTCCTCGATAATCACGACTGGTCTAGTCTCTGCTCTAGCCACTGTAACCGACTGAACTCTGCCTGTAGGTAATACTCCTGGGTTTGATAAATAGCAATTACGTGACCTAGCACATAATCGGTATGGGTCTGGGCTCCTCTACGGCCTGAGATGTGGTCAGGTCTGCTGGAAATAGTGCAGCCTGAGTCATAGATTCCATCAACCGCAACATACGATCCATGACCTCCTGAAAGCCTTGTGTAATCCTGAACTCTGTCGGGGCCTGCTCAGCTGCAGGTATATCATCTTGCTCCTCAATAAGAGGATCTTCCACTGGATCCACTGGTGGTGTCGCTAGGGCTATTCTGGGACACCCTCGTCCCCTAGCAGGAGCTCTAACCCCCCTCGGCCTCTGCCTCTATCTTTGACAATCAATGGTGCAACCCCTCTACCGTCGGATAATGCCATCGCACGCGTTCTCACCATCTCTGAGAGAATAAGAAAAAGATTCGGACATAGAACAATATCGACAAATGAAGAAAGAGAAGTTTCCTAATACCTTATAGCCTCTCGAAGATAAGTACAGACGTCTCTGTATCGATCCACAAGACTCTACTAGGTTTGCTCATGACTCGTGAACCTAGTACTGTGATACTAAGCTATCACGACCCACTTTTCCCCATAGGTCGAAATGGCGCCCAACACCACTATGGCAAGCCAACGGAAAGCAACACAATGATCAATAGTTTATAACACATTTTAAATCAAGTAATGAAATAAATAAGCCAAACTTAGTTTAGAAATCATGATAAATACCAACATCTGTGCCAAGATACAAAATATGAACAAAACAATAAGCTGAATGTCATAACAGTAATACAACCATAATAACTGTCAAAATTCTCCAAAACCCGGCGTCACTAGTGTATGAGCATCTGCTAGAATATACAAAACTACTACAACTACTGTTTTAAATGAAAAGAGGACAGAATACATTAGATATAAAGGAAGGAGACACGGTATGCTGCGAGCCGAAACATAGAAGGCAACTCACCACTAAGTCTCCCAGTAAGTGCGCCTACGTGTCCATCTGACCACTAGAAGTACCTATCTCAGTACCTGCACAATTAGTGCATAAGTATAGTATGCGTAGATAAATTAATGCGTACCCAGTAAGTATCTAGTCTAGGCTCGAAGAAGTAGTAGCTAGAGGTCGACATCGATACTTACTAGTTTTCCAATAATCACTGTACATAAAAAATAGTAGACAAGTAAGAGACATGGAAAGTAGCAGCAAAGCAGATAAATATGTACAACAAGTATCTCAATAAAAGAAATAGGTACAAATCTGTCAAGATACTCAGGTACACATGGACTACATATCAAGATATTTCACATAACCCTGCCAAGGCGAATGGCTCGATCCCAAAAAAATGGTGTTAAACATTCCTGCCAAGGCAAATGACCCGATCCTATAAGAATATTATTACATGATACTGTGGTAACTATTACACCCTATATTTTCGTACGTAAAAGTGCGTCGTAAGCAAACTAATGTAGGACCAAAAATGAGATCATCTTTGGAAGTATATAAAGTACATTAATCATGTTACCTCAGAGGTTACAAATATTGAAGATCATGAACAACAAGTACAAAGAGGGTTGGGAGGTTCAGAAGCTAAAGGAATTGAAGAAAATAACATTTCGTCGAAAGTCGACAAGTTGGGAATGTTATAACATGTACTTTTGGGGTGAGACTAGGGTGATTAATATGATAAGGATGTTATGTTATGAGTTATTTTAGTAGTATGATAGTCGTATGTTATGTTTTGAAGTCAAGCGAGTTGTGGAACAAAAGTCGATGAAAGTCATCACAAGTTACGTTCAAAAGTTTTACTGAAATTTGGGTCAAATGTAACTGCGCTTTTCTCCCAATATACTTAGAGTTTTGGGGTGTTCCACCCATAAAATTAAATATCTATGCATCTATTTTCTAATGCATTAAACCGTTTGTCAATACGACATTGGAGAAGAGAGATATATGCATTTTTGCGAGACTGCACAAGCTGCTAGGTGACAAGTAGGTGTGTCACCTACTTGCTTAAATGAGAGTCCGAAAATGGGCCAGTTCGGGTCATCCAAAGAGACATTTTAAAGGCATTATTTCATTAATATAATACAATGATAAGAGGTCACAATAACCATACCTAAACCCCTGCAAACATCCTCTCAATAATTACACACAAACCCTAATTGAATTTCTCTCCTGTTCAAGTTCTAGTTGGAGGTAAAACCTAGAGTTTGAAGAACCAAGATAGGAGCTAAGTTATACAACAAATAAGGTAAGTTTACTTCTCTCTTTTATCCATTTTTTCTGCTGTAGATGTATGGAAAGTCGTTCTATAATTGTAAGAACTCACGGGACGGTGATAGGAAGCTGTGAGTTCGAGTTAATCACTTGTAGCGGATTGTTTGGTGGACTGTTTTGTGTTGATGTTTGATTGCATGTTTTACTACTGTTTTATGGAGTTTTGGATGAGGGAGGGTGTGGATAAATAACACATAAATGCAGGGTGGTGAGCTGGTCATTCGTCGTAATATTTTCGGGCTGTTTGACACTACTACGGTGGTCATTTTGTGTATGAAGAGATTGGGGTGTGTTGGGCCATTTTGTAATATTTTGTGGTGTATATAAGGTTGGAAAATAATGTATATATTTTGATATTGTTGTGTTCTTGTGTTTTTGGTATTATCTTGAATTTGGAGGAAGTAAGGATTATAGGGGAGATGCTGCCCGTTTTAATACAAAATAAGCTTGTCGTTCGTTGTGCAATAGTTGTACCTTTCGTAACTTAATGATAGTATTATTATCGTTGTTGTAGATTAAGGTGCGAAGAGGCGAGTTCAACTTGGTGATTGGAAAGATTGTGATAAGGTATGTTAAGGCTAAACCTTTCTTCATTTTGGCATGATCCCGTGACTACATGAGTTTGATAACGAGGCATAATGAGAAGTTCGTATTCCTGAACTTATGTATATTATCCTAGTCTCATAAGTTACAGTATTCTCCCTTATCGGGATTTTATATNATCGAGCTATAATCGATGGGCAGGCCCCTATTGGGCAACCTCTGATCAGATGGTAATTTATATATCAAGCCTACTGTGGCCGAGCGCCTATGAGCGAGCCCAGAATGGCCAAGATACCTAGCCTAGTATGGCTGAGCGCCTATGAGCGAGTCTACTATGGTCGAGCAGTTACACGTACCGAGCCTTATAGGCCTGGACATTTATTTTACTTACTATATTGA